GACATTTTTGAGCCACGTTTGGCAAAGTAGAAAGGAACGATTGGCCATCGGTGATCGGTCCTGTGGGAACAATGCTCCGTCCTCTCGAGGACGCGTGGTCAATGGTCTAACCGCTAAGACATGCAAAACATAAGAGTACGCCCCCCCCCCCCTACCAATAAATATTGCATGAGCTAGGTAGGGGTTCGGAGCATGGCAGCAGCAGCATCATCAGTCGACCGTTTCTTACTGGACGCGCTCCCCCAGCAACCCCTCTTGTTGCTTATATCTGGGGGGTATCTCACGATCATGTTGCTGATTGGAACGTTTCTTATCTTGTGGCCGAGATTGAGCTGAGTTTCTCAGCCCTGTTTTTTAATATTTTTCGTTAATAGTTGAGCCAATTTTCCCTAACAGGCCCGTTCTGTAGTGGTAGTGCTACAAGGTTGGCGTTGTTGGGATGAATCTACAGAGCTTGGTCTTGCTTGGATTGGTGATACTGTAAGTGCTTCGTGACATGGGTAGGTGCTGGGTTGGTGCTTGGAGTAGGCCTACACCAGGAGGTCGCTGTTGGGTGGTAAACGGTGCCCATGCACGTCTGTATGGACAGGACGGCCAACTCGGGCACCTCTTCTTCGCGTACCCCTGGGTGTATAGAACATTATTGCGTCGCAGAGGAGAGTAGGTCGGCGGCTGCGGTAGCCGCCGCCTCTGTCGCTCTATCTGTTGCAAATGCAGCGGAATGACATCGCTGCCCGGCTACCTGCGCCCGATCTTTCGAATGGCTGCGGCAAATGTGTCGTTTCCCACGCCATTACCGCCACTAAAAAGAAGAAAATTGCGGCGGGCACTGTTCCCCGACCTGTTGAGGAGCACCATCGACCAAAACATTTCAGCATCCGAGTAAGAATTCTGCCCAGCTCTTGTTCAAGATCCGATAAAATATTTAAGCTGCACCGACCACAGCACGCACGAGTAGCTGCTTGCTTGGCAAAGGATTGTAAGTCAAGAAAGGTGCAGAGTTTCTTCAAGGATAACCAAGATCGCTCTCACTGGCCCTCGAACTGCCACCGCGACAAGAAGAACAACAAACAACAGACTTCGCGCGCATCATATAAAGCGATTAAGGACCCAACAAAATCACGGCACATTTGGGCGACATACGTGTGATTTACAAGCGTGCAAAGAGTAGAAAAACAAAATCAAAGTCACAACGAAAGAAACGAGACCGGCTGTCCATTTCAGCTCATGCGGAAGGAGGAGGTGTCGATGTCTTCCAGCCGAAACCGCTGGGTGACCGCCTGCAGCGTCCGCTTCTTGGCGCTAGCAACGGCGTCGAAGGACAGGTCGTACAGCGTGCAGAGGTTGAAGATCACCACGTCCAGCATGTACAGGCGGGGGTTCTTCCTTATCAGCCCCTTCAGAGTCCTCACCCCGCGCAGGACGTCGCACGAGCACATCGCCAGGCTGAGGTTGGTCAGGGCGGAGTCGAGGAGCCCCGCGCCCTGATCCAGGGTTGCCCTGAGCCAGATGTCTACCACCGCAGCAAGAAGCAAGAGGAGGGCCGACCGACAAGAAACAAACGGTTATCGATGATGAGGTTTTCGATGATAAGGAAGCCACCAAATTAGGTTGACGCGATGGGGCGACAGAGCAAAGGGCACGGGAAACAGATATCCAAAAAGCATTTTCGTACGATATCTGCGAAGCACAACGACTCTCTTCATCAACTTGGATGGCGGACAAGCAGGCAACAACCAACCAGGAACCGAATAGGTCATTCACACTTGACACCGGAGGCCCTGAAAACTCAACGGCATCGGCATTGACAAGGCACACACGCCTCAAAGATTCTGGAGCAATGAACGTATGGGAAAATATGAAGCACCTGACACGTCGGCCAGGGCCAACGCGGCGTTTGGAAGCAGGGCCACGGGGCACGGACGGCCGCGGTCAGGCGCCAGGTTGGGTCATACTCTATAGGCACCGGCCCACGTCTCCGCGGAAGTGGACGGTTCCACAACACAAAAAATACGCGCCGCAACAACAAACCCCTGTAACTCTACCCGCTCAAGGTACAACCTTTCGCAAACGGACTGTACAAGTCGTTCGAAATTCACCCCATACGAAAAAAATACAAACAAAACATTGACCACGTGAGAGAGTATCGTTCACCGTCACTGCCGTCCGGCGGCTCCTCCTCGGCCGCTTCCATCGCCGCTTCTGTGGCCGCGTTTCGGAAGTTTTCTTGCACCGGCACGAACTCGTTCCTCGAAAAGGCCAGCAAGCCGCGATTCACAAGTATCTGGCTGACGAACCGTGCGCGTGGGGAAGCGAAGCCGTTACAGCAGTACTGCCGGGAGTGGTTCTGTCCATCTGATTTCGCTGATGCGGGAAAATTGCCTCGAGAAATTTCGACACGCCCCGTCCAGATACACGGTCTTCGCGCACAACTAACTGTCGAGGATCGGCACAAAGGCGGTAGAACTACAAGGCAGTCAAGCTCAAACACGACGAAAGGCATGGGAATAAACATGTCTCACACAGCCCGCGTCATCACAACTGTCGAACGCAGAAGGGCACGCGCCCTCGAAACAGACCCGACAGCCAATAAGCCAAGACGCGTATGCATATCAACGCTTGCAGTTTTCGAGGTCGGTGAGCAGACAGATTCGCAGTGAGTACGAGCGCAGCAGGTTGCCCGCACGGCAGACCTCCGTTTTGCGTTCCGGCTAACCGCGGATATTTCGTGCTCAGTGCGTCGGAATCCCGGGAACGCATCTGGCCTTCTATCCTCAACCAATGCACTCACCCAACGCTGCAATCCTTGTCACCCCCACTAAACTACGCACAAGACCAAAAAAAAAAATCGTTTTCGGTGTGATGCATCTCCTCTCGTTTTTGTAGCGCTGCACCAAGGTTGCATCGAAACTAGCACCAGGTATGGCACATGGTGCACCTAAACAACCAATGACGACACGGCCACGGCAACAACAACCCCAGGCACCAAAAAAAAGAATTCGGCTAACTCACTTTTGGATTGGTCCCCGCCGCCGTTGCCGCGGCCTCCGCCCGACGGACATAAGCCTCCGCATCCTCCAGCGAGCCAAACTGCAAAAAAATCCTGCAATGCGAAAGAGAAGCTCCACCCTAAGGTCGTCCACCGACGCCCCGTCGCCCTCCTCTCCTGCTGCTGCTGCTGCTACCTCTTCTTGCGTTCGCAGCACTGGTCTTTCCCCCGGTCTTCCACGAGCCCCAGAGCCATCCGCCGGTTCCCGCGCCTCACGAACGTGTTGACGAGGTTGAGCATCACGCGTCGCCGCCACGTAGTCGCCTCCTCCACCGTCACAATTGCTGATGTTGTCGTTGTTGCTCTTGTTGCATGCCATTGTACCCTCGTTTCCATTCGTCCCAACTCCATCACAGCTTCGAAAGCGGCCGGTGCGGGGGAGCGGGGGTGGCGGCGCTGGTGGGCTGCGGCGGCGGCGGTGGCGGCGGCGGCGGCGGCGGCAG